GTGTCATCCTATTTTAATATATATTATTAAAATCCCAAATAACAGCGAGATACTTGGTGCTGTAAACCAGTTTGCTATATTTTAATGTCATGTTTTCAGCCATTTCCAAAAAAACCTGACTTCCACTGTTTTTAAATGACTTATTTAAAATGTATAAACACAAAGTATGACGTCTTATTATAAAATAAATGTCTGGCTTCTTTTAACGGAGTTCTGTTCTGGTGGACTTTGTTTGGTAAAGTTTGGATTTTGTCAATAATGCCAAATCATTAAGGTTCATCTTTTTCATCAGCAACTGAAGTTAAATTTTCACTTGTTTGACTTTAATCCATGAATTTGTTTTATGCTCGAAGGGAGTGGGTTTCCTTTGCATACTGACAAACAATTAGCCTTTCGAGGGAATTATAGTTATTGTTTCATTTCCCTACAGCGGGGCGCTGTATGTATGTATGCGTGTGTGAGTTTCACCAGAGAGAAGAGGTCGTTCTGCAGGCCGAGTCGGTCCACAGGCTGCAGGCTGAGGTCCCGGACGCCCGGCAGCAGACTCTCCAGCATGGAAGAGCTGTACTGGATGCGGTAGAAGCCCACAGTGCCGGGGTTGATCTGTAAACAGCAGGGACACAACTGGGTCAGACTGTGGGGGAAAAAAATGTAGTTTTGCCATTTTTTCCTCTCAGACGGAGAGCTTTTATCCAGCAGGGCTTAAAGCAGAGTGAAACGGCATCATCCTAATGCTAATGCTTGAGGTTTTAGTCAACAATGGGCTCGTTGTGGTGGAAAAATTCCCCCAAAACACTGGTAATTCTGACTTATCTGAACAAACATTAGGGGAAAGGAAACCTCAGTATTTAAAATTAAGTCTGCCTGGTAATGTTGCTGGTACCAGGAACGCGGACGAGTCGCTCAACAGGATTGGAGAAGTGGGGATCCAAGGCATTATTTATAGATCAGTATGAAACACGATCCATTTCAAGCCTTTGTTTACACTGTTCAGACAGAAATATCATCAACGGCTATGCTAATTAACAAGTTACACCCATGAGACGTCAAACAAGTCAATTCTTGCCACATTAGACAAAAAAACCACTCCCAAATTACCAGAACAAAAGATGACATAATGTTACTGACTAAACTGTCCCTTCATTAGTAGCCAGTACACCTGTACAAACTGGCTGTTAGAGGAAGTCTGTGATGACCACATCCTCCACCGCTCTTCCTCCCGACTGACGACCAGCAACCTCGTTCTGTGAACTCGGTTTGAACTTTTCATGACAACAGGACCGTCTGAGGCATCTTTTCTTGACTCACTGCTTCAGCTGAAGACTCTGAACTATCCTGTTCATTCGCATTTGAATGGAAGAGAAAAGATTTTGACGATCTTAGCTTGAAGTTTTACTTGTATGTGTACGACCTTTGTCACTAACACGGCCACAGGCTGCAAAGATGTTGTATTATTGAAAGCAAGAAATAAATGATAACATGAATATTCCATGTAGACAAACAACTGAAAGGACACTGTGCTCTGTAAATGCGTTTCCATTTTATCTTGATGCCTTTTATGTTTCATGTAAAGCACTTTGAATTGCCTTGTTGTTAAAATGTGGTACACAAATTAACTTTCCTTGCTCTGCAGAAGCTCTGTGGAAATTATTCAAAACACACTTCTACATATAAACTCAGTTTTCACTAGTTAAACAAAAGGATTTCATGCTTACTAAGAATGGGTGTCACCAGCAGTGAGTAATCCACATTAAATACAGTTTCTGTCACTGCGTGTTTCCACCATCACATTTATTCCATCCCAGCGGGACACAAACTAAAGTTTTAGTGCCACGAGGATCCGCGGTACATAAAACTACTTTATTTATCACATTGTATGCCAGGTATCGGATCAGGACCCTGAGTTTAGGTATTGGACTCTGGATCCTGACTGGGATCATTTTAACTCAAACTGAAACAGTCTTTGAAGAGGGATCAGTCATGCAGTCACAAATAAACTGTTGCAACCTGTTTTATGGGGATTTATAGTGATATAGTGATATTAATACTTTCTGTCCTGTATTGGTCCGTTTTTCTTGCAGAGTTCTGTTATTTAAACCTACACACTTATTGTTTAGCGTCTGCTTTAGTGTGTGAGTTTTGTGTATTTTAAAAGGACTATCTATGCTACATATTTGTCCCTTTAAAACTAAACAATAAAATATATATACAGCCGAGGATGTAAAAACGAACATTATCAAGTAAAAGGTAAACTGAAACTCACCTTGACCCACTGATCAGGGCTGACGCCGCTCAGGGTGATGGTCGTCTCGGGTCTGTCCAGCAGAACCTTGAGCTTGGTGCATTTGGGGTCCTCGCCGGTACAAATACTAATGGGGACCATCCAGTTGGGGCAATCCTCACCTGTCCAACAGACAAGTCAGGGAGCCAATGAGAAGCTGTGTCTGGGTGTTACATAGAAAACAGTGAAAAACACTACGTGTACATAAACACTCACCATTATGTGGTCCACTGGCACAGAACTTCTTCTGACATAGCTTGAGGATGCGGTCGTCACCTTGCTATAAATAACATCATGGTCAGTGTGTGTGAGAGAGGCAACAACGCAGGGTACTTATGTCGGTGATGTTCCTATATTAACTCATTGCTTTGTTTTACTGCGGCTGTCACACAGGTGTCTGGAGGCAGACAACGGCGGAGAGCCGAAAAACAACCACATTCACCACACGACTGCAACAAAAGCCCCGCAAGCAAACAGCTAACGAGAGTGATTTATTATTGCAGTCCACACAAAAGACGTACAGACGACAATAACAAATATTCAACAGCACGCAGTTCATTCAGGTGACTCAGGGAAAGGCTGCACAAAACAAACGGCGGAGGACTAAAAGGAAATGACTCAATCCAGAGCTATTTAACTGTCAAGCACATACTTTAGTTTGACTTTAATAACGTTACGTTAAGGGTGCAGTGTGCAACTGTATTATCTAGGAAAATACAAGTATCAGATCCAGACTCCGTGTTAATTAACTCTGATCTGGGGCAGAAACACTTGATCAAATCTGATTAAACACCAGTGAAGCTCACCTGTTCCTGGTCCACTACTATTATTGGGAAGCCCATCTGTTTGGTCCACGAGCCCATCACTGCTGCGATGGGTTTTCCACTGGCCTGTTCCAGACAGTCCCATAGATCCTCTGTGGAAGACAGCCGTGAGTCAGACGATTAGGAATCTGTGAAATCGATTTACGCAGCGGTTTCATCTCGGGGGGAAAATATTTCCTGCATGTTCTTACCCGTCGAAGCATTTTTATGTTGGAACTTCAAAAGATAGGCGTTCATTCCTTTCCTAAAGTCCTACAAAGAAAAAGCAAGAGGTTAAACTTAATGATAAAAATATTAAAATGGAAACTGCGCTATGCTGCGAGCAACTCTGTAAGACAACCAACCTCGTCTCCTATGTAGTTGTGCAACATGCGGATCACAGATGCTCCTTTGCTGTAGGAAATGGCGTCAAAGATTTCATCTACCTCTGATGGATGGCCCACGTTCACCTGGAGACACACAACGGGTTAGGGTTACCCGGACGTCATGCGTTAAGAGTCAGACGGTAACTTTCATTGTTTTAACTTAAATACTAGCCTGTCTCAATAAATAAAAAGATTAAATCTTAATGAATCCGTCCTACATGAGCCAGCAGCTTTAAGTTTTACAACGTGAATCCTTCCACAGCTCACCTCTATGGGATGGCTGCTGTCCAGTGCATCCAGGTCCAGGGCGCGGGTGTAGTCAGCTGAGACGAACTGGGTCCAGATGTCGTACTCTGGGAAGCAGTGGTCCACACACAGATACTCGATCCAGGATGCAAATCCTTCATTAAGCCACAGATGGGTCCACCATTCCTGTACGTACACAAACACACGCACTAAGATGGCCGCGTCGTTCCCTTCCAAAACTACAAATTCAAGTTTTCAACAGTCGTTTTCTGAAAGATACGATTAACTGTTAAAATCTGACAACAATGTGACACAAAACTTACGATCCTGATGCTCCGCTACGCAAAACAATGTCCAAAAAAAAGCCTTTAAGCTTTTCTATCTTAACGAAACAGTGTGCCACGCCTTCATTGGCCTTTTGTGTACTACATAGTCTCTACTTTGGAGATATTAAATGCTGCCTTCAGCTCAGATTACAATGTACAGACATTAACAGTTTACTTTCCATTACTTTTATAACTTGTTGACACATTATTGTTATGATTATCATCATTTTCAAATCTCCTTGCAAACTGTCCATTTATAAAAATAAAAAAAAAGGCAACAAATAGCGGTTACGGCTGGTTACCATGGTGACCAAGTTTCCAAACCACTGGTGGGCGAGTTCGTGTCCGACCACCAGCGCCACCCACTGCCTGGAAGACGAGCAGGAGTTCTTGGGGTCGATTAGCAGTGCTGTCTCCCTGGAAAACCACAGAAACTGCAGGTTAACACAGAGACGGCTGAAGGTCGACACCAGCAGGTTTTTCCTTCATCAACCATCCAGAGGCCCCAACAGCTGCTGGGCTGTTTGTTGATTAAGAAAACCTGCATGCAGGTGCCTGTAGACGGTGGATGAATGGAGCCTGCTGCCGTATGCTAATCACATGCCATCTGAACACTTAACAGGTGGCAGCACGTCCACCTAACCACAAAGCAATTAAAAAGCCATCAGAGCTGTCAACCAAAATAACACAACGTTCCAGAGGGAAAGGAAGAAAGCTGCGGTTTTCCTCTATGAGCCATGAAGATGCACAACTAGTTTAGGGCTGCAACAAACTATTCTTTTCCTCATCCATTAAATGTTAATTATTTTCATTGCTTTTTCCATATAGTCCATCTTAATGCCTGCAACCAGAGTGGATTTGGTCAGATTCCATTTGAAATCAATAAAGGAGGTAGAAACACCACTTTTTTTACCACCTTTTAGGGGCTTTAAATGTCCAGAGTGTAGGATTTAGTGGCATCTCCTTCCTTTCCAATCACAAGGGAGAAGCTACAGTGGCTCCGTCTACAGCCAGTGTTTGGTTTGTTTGTCTGAAACAACAAGGCGGCCTCCACAGAAGGCGACTCACTCACTGTGTCTGTATATGAATATTATATTTAATATATCCTCCTAAATATTACACACTGGACCTTTAAGTAAAAATATCAAAGAGCAAAGAGTATTTAAAGAGCAAACCAAAGCTTACCTGTAGGTAACAAGGCCCCAGTTTTCCATGGCACCTGAAAGGAAGGAAGCAGAGCCCGTTTGACTTACATAACATTTTCATTGGAAATGTCTCAAACGACTGAATGTAACACTGACAACTACTCACCAGCAGCAAAATCAGCGATCGCTATGAGATCAATTTTAGGCAAAGGATAAGGAACACTGAAGTAGTCTTTGTAGAAAGGTAAGGTCTTAGTCGCAACCTGCAGAAGGGAAAGAAATTATATGTAACAACCTTTTAAGTGTCAGGACAAAGTGTACAGGAAGACTGAAAGAGACACAAAGGATCCGGCAGTTAGAAGTATTCTTTAAGAGCTGAGAGTTGCTGTCTGGAAATGTTTCATTCTCACCTCCAGTGCAAATTTCCCTTGTTCTGCCTTCCCGACAGGTGTGTAGACGCGTACCGTTATACCATCTGATGATTGGCTCTCCACAAAGTCATATTCACCGATGACAAAAGCTACAAGGTATGTTGACATGATAGGTGTGGTGGCAAACTTCACTTCCACAAGGTTTTCATCCTCTGGATATGGCTTTCGATCAATGACATTCTGGAAGAGCGAAAGAAACAGTCAAATAGCAACATGGAGATTTGACAGCAACAGTGAGTTCAGCAATTTTGGGACATTTTGCTAAAATATATCTTTCTCAAGCGGATCTTTGTGTAAAAGCTTCTGATACCACAGCCTTATATTTTGTTTCTTTGGGGCAAACAGTGACTTTGTATAACACAAAGAGTCTAAAGCTCCACCAGCAGCTGGTAAAGGCTGAAATATGTATTATTACACACCACAAGTGCGGCGTCTGGGAGAACAAACAATCTACAGACGAGTTTACCATTTCAAGAGCTTTACTGGCAGTGGGGGCTGAAAATGTCAATTTGTCTTGAGGGTGATGAGAGGGAAAAGGCGATATGATGATTCCCTCTGCAGAGCATGAATCTTAACATTGTTACTGTGAGCTTACAACATTTCTTTGGTCCAAATACAAACTTTGGCAGATTGGTGGCGCTAGAACAAACATCAGCAGGTTCATTAGGAATCTAGGATCATCAATTAAAGGATCATGTTTCTTACTGTGAACAAATCCCATGGAAACAACAACACCAACAATGTGTTAGTCCGTCTCTCATTACTGACTTCTTGTCTGTTGCCCATTGGTTCCTATTTAAGATGTAGATCCTTTAAAGCATATAACAAATGCTGTTTTATTGATTTATTCACTTATTTTAAAGGCTCGGTTATGTCCTAAAGCAGACACTTGAAGAGGAGGAAATACTGCTTTTGTTGGGGACTATTTTCAACTGCGGATTAATCCACATGACGGTTTGTGTGTGACTGAGTTAAAATAAACTACAGTGTGTGTGTGTGTGGCTCACTGAACTGAACAATGGAGCTCTACGGTACAAAGGAAGAAGACATGTCAGGCTTTGATACACAATACCTGTTAGTTGTCAGTTGGTTTTGGTGGGACCTGTTGACCAAAATATCAGACTCATCCTTTACTACCAATGCCGGCTGTTATGACAGTCTGACCAACAGTTATCTTAGCGTTAGTCGGCACTTTGCATTAGTATGTAAACCCTCATGTTACCACAAAGTAGCCACTGAGTCTGTACGCATACACGTTCGAGCTAAATGCAGCACTGTGTTGCACTGGACTTTAAAAAGGTCACAGTGGACTGGATGAGAAAATATATTTCAGTGTGTATGTGGACACAAAAGGTCAAGAGCTGGACTGGCATCAATCCGTGCAGAGCTTACTCCTGCTGACTGAACTAATCCAATCTTTTTTACTTCCAGCCATGATTGTCTGCAATTTGTCTCTAATTATCCTCATTTGTCTACAATCATTTACATTATTTCATATTTTAACTACGGTTTATTCTATTTGTTTATAAGATTATTTGGTCATTTGTCGGTCATAATCAAATTTTGTCAGCAGCTGACAAAACAGGATTGGACATAAAAACACACACTATTAAAGACTGACAGACTGCATTGATGTCATTCATATTTAGTCATCGGAAAGACCCAAATTTAGCTTCACCGTCACCACCCAGACGAACTGTGTTAGCCTGGAGGGGTGTTGTTGTTAGAAATAATCTAAGCCAGATGATGTTTTCTGATGCAATTTAGCTGCAAACGCCTTCAGTTGAAAATCACTAGAAATCAGAGTCTGTATAAGAAAACCTCAAACATAAGTATTCCCCGTTGACAATAACCCTGAAATTGGGTCTGTTACAGTGACTTAAAAGTGACTTACGACAAATATCGACTTATTCAGACCATCGGATATATTATTTTGTCATTTATTGTCATGCATGCTGCACAGCTCTTCTACAAACACCTCCTCTACAAACACCTCCAGGGGCCTCTCCCTCTCCTCTTCAGCAGTGTGGGGAAGAGTTGAGCTTCTCTCGCTGTCTCTCTCTGGATTAAAAGGTTTTCCTACAGATTATATGTAAATCGTTCTTTTGAGTTGTCCCTGCAGTGAGTTTGTGATTAAAAGAATAATGAAAACTGACTATGGCCAACACACCTAGAGCTAAAACTTTATTCAAATTGCAGCGAACAACGAGCAGGTGGCGGAGCAGCGTGAGTCAATGAAGTGATGCGTGTAACTGAAACAAATATTCATTATGTAGAATGAAACAAGAGAAAACTTCAATTTGGGACAATTGCTGTTAAGTCGGAGACAGTTGAAAGTGGAAAAAATATTTTTCTTTCAATGACGAACCTTGTTGTACGTGTACAGTAGTGACATTTAATGTTAAACATAACATAGCCAGAGGAAGAATAGGCAGCGACTGTCTGGCCTTTGTTATGTAAGCGACAAAGAGAAAAGAGAGGGAAGAGAAAGGAGGTGAAACACACACACACACACACACACACACACAAAAGAGAGCTGAAAGTGACTCAGGCAGTCTACGGGTCGGGAGGTTTCAGAGGGAGGAGGGAACATATGACACGTACCATATTTGACAAGGCTACTCGGTCCTTGGGAACTATCAGAGCGATGTCAAAGGTGGCTTTGATAGCTGGCTCATCCCAACAGGGGAAGGCTCTGCGAGCGTCCGTGGCCTGAAAGAGAGAAAGGACACCAACTCAGAGCCTGTGTGTTCAATCCAGATGAGTCCAGACTGAGGTGGACTTATCTTGAAATGCATCTTAAACGAGTCTATGTCCCCCGCGATCGTGTTTCACTTGTCAAGGCACATTTGATTTGTATCTGTGAGCAGACTGACAGAGGAGGCTGTTGCATGCTGGACGCAACTACACGGAAAGAAAAAACTAAACAAATAGGAAGAAAAGGTGAAAACAAAAAAGATATGACAATTCAATGAGAGAATAAAATCGAGACTCAGATAAACAACAGTTACCACCTCGTTTATAAACTCTTGGGGAGAAATTATTTGGCTGGCAAACCAAAGAGATTTATGGAAACATAAAGACTTTTTATTCAGACTCCTTCCCTTTGTTACAGGAGCAGGCGGCGCTACAGTCGAGCATTTTCATCTGTGCCAGGACGGCTGTTTTTTTCAAAGCCGTTTCGCTGGGAGCGTCAAATTTAGCTGTGGAATTTGCTGCATTTCCTTTAAATAAATTGCCCGGAGCCGATGATTTTATCGTCTAACCTGGCCTTTACTTTGTCTGAGCTTACACAATCTCCACCATGGCTTGAACTGCGCTGAAACGCACAATGTGAGCCGCAGACTGGGGAAGTTACTCTGAATAAAATTACTCTGAGGGGAAATTTTCAGACCATTTTTCTTTCCCAAAACCAACTTCACCCAGCAACTGACAAGCGTGTAATTATGAAAGTATTAAAAGTAGGTTGGGCTTGATCTTCTCTCTCTCATGCTCTCTTTTTCATTCTTCACACTACTACTCCTGTCATTTTTTTGTGTGCACAACCAAGAGTAACAGTATGAATGTCCTGAGACTGTGATTACCATTGTCCACATCTGAACAATTATCGTGTCTCTATGACAGCAGGCAATTCGCCTCGCCTTCAAGTGTAGTCATTTGAAGCACTTTTGCCTTTAGACATGGTCAAACAACACTTCCCACTTACTGTTTTGTTTCAAGCAGAGATCTGTCTTTAGGCCACTACCAGCAGCACTGAACTGAGCACGACTGCTTAACGATAACACTGGATTTTAGGATTTTTGCATCAATGAGATGCTGCAACTTGTGTTTAATTCTGCCAAAAACAGACATTTCCAGATTTAGTTTTCTTCATAAAGACAATGTGAACTGAAAAATGAGTTGTAGTGGTTGCAAATGTCCGTAGACACTCGAACTATAACGCTTTAAAACACAAGAAATCTGTAAGAAACTGCAATGAAAGTCCAAATAAAGTTAATCTTTTGTTTAGTTTCACTTTCATGCTCGTTCTCTCTTGTTTCTGTCTGTCTCTCAATCATGTTCAAACTACAATAAAGATCATACCTAAACCAAAACTCCCAAATGGTAGACCCTCTGTAATAAATATATCTTCCAGTCTCACACTGTGGCAGGAAACCTGTGCACAGCAGGTGTATGTCCTGCAGGTGACAGAGGTTCAGTGTCCAACCGTCCCAGAAACAAACAACAAACAACAAACACACAGAATGAAATCAGAGATATTGCCTCATCTCCAGGATAATTCTGGATTACCAACAAGAGTCACATGAACATCACACCCTCATGTGTCGCAACACAGGCGAGTAGCAGGTTAAGCAACAGACTCTCCCAAAAGAAAACATCCCACTGTCCCTGGAGGCCGTCGGTTTACCTCAAACTGTGTGACAGCAGCGTAGCGGATCTCTCCGGCAGAGGTTGTATATTTACTTCTGTAGAATCCTTTCATTTTGTCGTTCAGCTCCCCGACGAAGTCTATCTTCAACGCGCCGGAGCCTGGGGAGGCGTGTACAAAGAGAGTTGCACTGTTCATTCAGCCACGACCAAAAGGGGGGGGGTCTGTTATTCTTCAACAGCAACGATGATGGAATAATGTTTAAGAAGCAGGGACGAACAGCAGCAGAGTCCCTTCTTACCTTTCTGTAGAGCGCTAGGAAATGACAGGGTGACTTTCTCATCCTCGTTTTGATAGTTGAATCCCGTAGCATTAATTTCTAAAGAGAATAAAAACAAACATTGTAAAGATACGTACAGACTAGATGTTTATTTATGAGCGTCATTAATAAAGAAAAGAAGATGGGAGGGGGGGAAAAAGCTGACAAAGTGTGACCCTCACCTTCTCCTCCCTCTGGCACAAAGGACGCTGTGATGATGTCGATGTCAGCACAGTTCATCACAATCTGATTAGTGGCTTGTGTAACCTGTAAATATTGACAGAAAACAGCAGAACTTATACTTCGATAATCTCTGCTGTGCCGTAACTTAAAACGCAGATTTGTCTGGGAAGTTTAAATAAAGTGCAGCTCTCCAGTGGAACCTGGATGAGTATGTAAAGAAGTTTTGGTTTGCAAATGAAAGTCTGGCGTTAAATCTGAACCCGGGTCAGAAAGCTCAGACAAGAATCTACTTACTGAGCCGAACAGAAGCTGGAGGGCAAAACTGGTCACAGGAGAAACAAGCAGCAGCATAAAAAGTGATGCGAACAGCAAAAAAGGAAGACAGAGCGAAGCCTCTGACGGCGGATGCGACTGCTCGATGTACTGAGGGCGAAACACAGCGGCACACGTGGACGCAGGTCTTCAAAGAGGGCAGAAATAGTGACATTGACGGTTTGTGGCGCTGCTGGTTGGACGCCGCTGCTGTTCGAGACACTTAAGGGCTGACGCAGCGGCAGAGAGGCAGTAATTATGAAACATGCCAGGCAAATGGCAAAATGCCACGTTGCTTAAGTTGCTTCCTTTCTATTGTGTTTTGCCCAAAGCTTTGCACAAACCACAGGTGAACAAACAGGGTGCTGCTGAACCAAACTGCAGGGAAACGGTAACTTCTGAGCGAACGCAGCATTAAAAACAACTTAAAGACTTCTGCGACTACTGACTGCAAACACGTGGGGAGGGGATGTTTGAATATATTTAAAAACAGGTTTAAATGTTTATATAATACACAAATGTGGCTCAATGCGTGTTTCTTTAACGATTCTTGCAGCATTACACTTCATTATGTCCCGCGTGTGTTCCTCGTACTGGGGGCGTTTCAGTACTGGTGGCGACAGATAAGAGTACTGGTGCTGATAAGAGAAGCAATACATCAGAAATAAATAAGCCTGAATGTCTCAGACGCATCCGCTGCCAACTTTAAATGATTTATGGCTGAAACAAATAGATAACAGATTGGAAGTAATCAAAGTTTTTTCCATTTTGATGCTTAGTTGTTTTAAGAAATAACGAAGGAACAAGAGCAGCTTTTCCCGCTTGTCCTCACTTCATATAAACTGTATATCTTTGGGTTTTGGGCGGGAAGTGCTGCGAGGTTTGTGCCGTCTCGTTATTGTGAATTTATTTCTATATTTTGTTTAATCTGCTCTGGATAGTGAAGCCGTTACCTCGTCAGTGAAAAGGCGTTACAGAAAACAAAGAATTAATGTTCGCATAGTGATGTGTTCTGTCTTTATTGCTCTGTCTGCACAAACTCGATCTCCGAACTGAAAGCTAAGTGAGTTTTTCTTGTTTTTCTGTTGTCATGTGTCGGTTATATACGTTAACAACAAGCCGACTGACGTTTAAAGAGGTTTTTAAATCACTCACCACAGTTTTAACATGTTATTTATTCTCTGTCAGACATAGAAAGCAGAGACAGAACATATAATATATATATTTAATAGTTATCCCCTGGGGTTATTAAAGTATTTCTG